GAATACCTATTATTCGCACTATTAATATAAGAGTAATAGTCTATAATACACAAGTAATCAGCATTAAAAATAAAACCATCATATTCGCATGCAGATCTCACTTTAAGCAATGTCATGATGCAAAGCGCAGGCAGAGAAAGGAAATATATATTAATGCATTTATGGAGCGGAAATATGCATGTTCGAATGTAATAATCTATAATAAAAAAATATGACTATATATATATATATATATATAGAGAGAGAGAGAGAGATAGATAGATAGATAGATATATATATATATATATATATATATATATATATATATATATATATATATATATATATATGTATATATATATCAAAATCCGGGTAAGCAATGACTGACCACGACCTGCCAGTTTCATGCGTTATCACGCAATCTTCAGGCACCCAATAGCTGTAGCGTGTAAAGTGCGTACCCCGTATACCACTGGGCGAGTTCAATATGACGGACAAACCAAAACCACCTGCTGGGAGTGTAAACCATCCGGCCAAGAAAAAGAAAAAGATTAGTTCACCTGGGACAGGTTTGAAAAGAGCTCAATGACAAATGAATTTAGCAATGGGGCTAAAGCATATATATATATGTCAAATCTATCTCCGTATCCATATACAGCGTGGGGGAAACAAATATTCGTACACATACTAATTTCTAATTTATTGTCTTACCAACTAATCAATGAACATATTTTTCTTAGATTTAACTATACAAATTCATAATAACTAAATATGCACAGAAAAGAGAAAAATCTTTGATTTAATAGAAATCAATCCCATTTATCCATTTTAATTGGTGAAAAGTGTATTCGTACGATACATAAAAGAATACATAATCTTCATTTTAGAATAGCCATTATTCAATTCTACACCAACCAACCAACCAACCTCTTATAGTTCTCAATGATTTGCAAATTTTAGTTGATATTTTGTTTCATTCTTCTTCGCATATGGTCTTCAGATCCTGGATGTTTGTGGAGTTCTCGATTGGATTTGAATTTTCAAATAACGCCACAGATTCCCGATTGGTTTTTAAATCTGAGGACTGACTTGGCCATTTCAGGATATTTACATTATTTTCAGTAAGCTATTTCTTCGTAGATTTTGCAGTGTGCTTAGGATCATTATATTGGAAGATCCAATCAGGAGGAAGTTCAAGATTTTCAACCGAAATCAATAAATTTGCTTCCAAAATATTTTGATATGCTGCGGCATTCATTCTACCATCTATTACTGATATGGTGCCAGTATCTTTTGCAGAACAAGATCTCCAAACCATGATGCTGCCACCACCAAATTTCATTGTTGGAACTGTGTTGAAGGCATCGCCATCTTTTCTCTATACAGGATTTCTAGAATTACGTCCAAACAACACAATTTTTGTTTCGTCTGTCCATAATACTTTTCCCAATATGATTTTTCCTTATCCTTATGTTCACGAACGAATTTCAACCTGGAATCTCTGTGTCTTTTCAATAGCAGTAGAGTTTTTGAGGGGAGGATGATTTTAGATTGTTCCTATGAATTTCGTTGCTTATTGTCCGTTTGGTGGCACAGATTCTTGATGAAAGCAAATCCTTCTGCAGCTCTTGACGAGTAACCATTAGATTTTGTTTAATTTGACGCATTAATTTCCTCGAAGGTCTTGAAGAAATCTTTCGTAGAGCACCTGTTCGCCTTTGGTTTTCAACAGTCTTGACTTTCTCATAACTTGCAATGAATGAACTTACGGTAGTAAATGGAATATTCAGGTTATTTGAGATTTTTATGTAACTTTTACCTTTCCAAAATTTAACAATCAGTTCTTTTTGCGAATCTGTCAATTCTTTACCTCTTGCCATGATGTTAACCTTCTTGCACGAATATCACTTATAGAATGCTCTGTTTGTACTTTTTAGGCTAACATTCTAGAATATTCGACTTGAATAATCTAGAGTATTAAAGCAATTTAAAAGTTTTAAAATCTGAAATTTATATTGTACGAATATTTTTCACGAATTAGAATGGATAAATGGGATTTATTTCTATTAAATCATAAGTTGTTCTGTTTTCTATGCGTATTTAGTTACGTTTATATATTTCATTAGTATGTTTATTCATAAGTTGGAAATACAATAAATTAAAAATTTGTGTGTGTACTAATATTTGTTTCCCCACACTATATATATATATATATATATATATATATATATATATATATATTATGAAACACAAAGTCCGACAATTATTTTAAGACATTTTTAAATTATACATTCTTTTTATAGATACAAATATTTAAACTAAATTCTGTTTATAATAAACAGTATTAAACAACATTTACCGGCCTGAATGTCGAGAAAGATTTTCATAGAAAATATTCGTCCTCCGAACGATTCGAACCTGTATCCTATACGGAACCGTCATATAGCCTGACGAGTCTTTTAAAAGCAGTAAATTCGACCTTGCAAACCGAACGATCCTCTGTGGTCGAAACGGTTAAAAGGCACGTCAGACTAAATGACGGTTCCGTATAGAATACAGGTTCGAATCCTGTCGGAGGACGAGTATTTTCTATGAAAATTTCTCGGACATTAAGGCCGATAAATGTTTTTTAATACTGTTTATTATAAACAGAGCATTTAATTAAATATTTGTATCTATAAAAAGAATGTATACACATAAAATGTCTTTTATATATATATATATATATGCCTAGTCATATATATCTGTTCATATCAATTCAAATCACTATTCCTATCGTTATGTTCATATGTATCTAAATATTCATATCTATTCATCTATCTTTCTGTTTAGATCTATATATGTTTATATTTTTGATTGCATTTGTATATCTTAGGTTTTTATTACATAATAACCCTAACCACTTCATTTCTGTCTTCAGCAGCCTACACTCGATATCAAGTCACATTCTAATTACAGATTTTTATAATTGTTTCCAAGTGATAATTATTAATAAGCTGAATTAAAAGTAATTATCATTATTAATATGCGAGAGAGCAGCGCGCCAACAATATGAAGCTGAGATACAAATTTACGAAGCCTAATATAGCCATCAGGACACCCAGTCTGATAGGAGTATACCAAGCACATGCATTACGGCCAAATATACACGACATGGTGTCAGACTTTGACAAAAGCAGCGTATACGCCTTGCAGGTGGGCGGGATCCAGTTCGAAATACCTTCAAAGAATCCAATTTGTTCAAACAGACTTCGATTGAGAGTGTTCCAAACTTTCTAGATGTACCGCCCATCTTGTCTAGGTTACAACACCCTCAACCAATAATAATTGGAAGTTATGAGCATCCTGTCTCCTGTAGCATGAGGACATCTATTAACAATAATGTATCATCACTAGTATACTACTATGGCAGACGAGGAAGAGTGTAAACAGGACAACCGAAATCATTCTGTAATTAACAGTTATTAGGCCTAGAGTTATTGCCCTTGGACATGTTTTATATCAATTTATACTTAATGAAAACGTATTCATAGACTGGTAACGATTTACTGAGCATAGCTTAGATGTGGCACAAGGCTGAAAATATGAGCACTAATGGGCATCTAACTACTCAGTCGTAACTGACCTAGTGAGACAAGCTTGCTAACCATTACATCGCGTCGAAGTGCCATAAATGTGGCACAAGAACGAAAGTGGAGAGCACTCAGTGAGGATCGAAGTCACTACTCCATTGAACAAGCTTGGTAACCATTACGCCACGTCGAAGTGCCCTCGCTGACTGATAGCCCAGTTGAACTGGAAATATTTTATTCTCCAAGTTAGGGAACTTTAATTACATTGCGCTATGATGTTCAGTTTTTGCTGTGCTATGGTAGTAAACAAAATATCCAGGGTGGTCCGAATGTCGTGTCACACCCTACCAAAAAGTAATGAGAACCATAGAAGAATAAGTAATACAGTAATATAAAGTACATGTACTGTATTCAGTTTATTCACTTTCACTGGTACTGTCACACAAAAGGTCTATATACACACCATCATTTTCGTGTCAGCCATCTGAAACAGAATATTATATTATGTAGGGGTGACAAGACTTTCGGACCACCTTTTATAAATCGATTATTTGATAATATTCAGTGTTGATGGCTACTAAGCTACCAATATATCGCAGACGTATTTTGATATATAATATTGATATAACATTTATTATAAACTTTCATGTTACCGTATTTTTTCTACTTTGTGCTTTTGGTTCTCTTCAAGTCGAGGTAGAAGCGAACGCACAAAAGTATTTATTTGAATAGCGAGATAATTATACTAGCATTTTAACATTTTTGGGTCATTAGAATTGCTTGTTCGCTTTTGAATCAGTAGCGATTAATTAGAAAATTATAACACTTTATACTCTCTCTACACACACACACACACACACACACACATATATATATATATATATATATATATATATATATATATATATATGTATGAGTTCTGGTTCACCTGCACTCTTATTAAAGTATATATATATATATATATATATATATATATATATATATATATATATACAGGAAAAAGAAGTTGAAAATCCAATTGAATCAGACGCATGACATATCAAATGTAACCACACGCTTCTCCATCTCAATTTAGCTTTTGAAAGAGAACTATCAAACCGGTAAACTTACTCTAAATAAATATTCTTGAGTAATCCAGTTGCATTTTCAATTTCTTTTTTCCTATATTTCTGCCCATGTAAGATATACAAAAACTATATATATATATATATATATATATATATATATACACACACACACATATATATATATATATATGTTTTCTCTCAATCTCTGGCAAAGCTTTAATAAAAGTGAAAGATGTTAGATTGATGTAAGTTTCCTATTTGTTCTTTGTTTTTTATTCTGTGGGATTCCGATCCATACTTGATCTTTAACTAAAAATAGATGAAAGAGAAAAAAGAAAAAAAGGAAGAAAGGGTGAAAGTAAAAAAAAAAAAGAAGAAAAGGTTAAGGTAAAAAAAATGAAGAAAGGGTGAAAGTAAAAAATGGAAGAAAAGGGTGAAAGTAAAAAAAAGAGGAAAGAGTGAACGTAAAACAAAGGAAGAAAGGGTGAAAGTAAAAAAAGGAAGAGAAGGTGAAAGTAAAAAAAAAGGAAGAAAGGGAGAAAGTAAAAGAAAGGAAGACAGGGTAAAAATAAAAACAAAAGAAGAAAGGGTGAAAGTAAGAAAAAATGAAGAAAGGGTGAGAGTAAAAGAAAGGAAGAAATGGTGAAAGTAAAAAAAGGAAGAAAAGGTGAAAGTAAAAAAAAGGAAGAAATGGTGAAAGTAAAAGAAAGGAAGAGAGGGTGAAAGTAAAAAAAGGAAGAAAAGGTGAAAGTAAAAAAAAGGAAGAAAGGGTGAAAGTAAGAAAAAAGGAAGAAAGGGTGAGAGTAAAAGAAAGGAAGAAATGGTGAATGTAAAAGAAAGGAAGAAAGGGTGAAAGTAAGGAAAAGGAAGAAAGGTTGAAAGTAAAAGAAATGAAGGAGAGGTGAAAGTAAAAGCAAGGAAAAAAGGTTGCAAGTAAAAAAAAAAAGGAAGAAAGGGTGAAAGGAAAAAAAGGAAGAAAAGGTGAAAGTAAAAAAAGGAAGAAAGGGTTAAAGTAAAAAAAGGAAGAGAAGGTGAAAGTAAAAAAAAAGGAAGAAAGGGTGAGAGTAAAAGAAAGGAAGAAATGGTGAAAGTAAAAGAAAGGAAGAAAGGGTGAAAGTAAGGAAAAGGAAGAAAGGGTGAAAGTAAAAGAATTGAAGGAGAGGCGAAAGTAAAAGCAAGGAAAAAAGGGTGCAAGTAAAAAAAAAGGAAGAAAGGGTGAAAGCAAAAGAAAGGAAGAAAGGGTGAAAGTAAGAAAAAAGGAAGAAAGGGTGAATGTAAATAAAAAAAAGGGTGAATGTAAATAAAAAAAGAAAGGTTGAAAGTAAAAAAAAGGAAGAAAAAGGGAAAGTAAAAAAAAGGAGGAAAGGGTAAATGTAAGAAAAAAAGAAAGAAAGGGTGAAAGTAAGAAAAACGGAAGAAAGGATGAATGTAAAAAAAGGAATAAAGGGTGAAAGTGAAAAAAATGGAAGAAAGGGTGAAAGTAAGAAAAAATTAAGAACTGGTGAAAGTAAGAAAAAAGGTAGAAAGGGTGAAAGTAAGAAAAAAGGAAGAAAGGGTGAAAGTAAGAAAAAAGGAAGAAAGGATGAATGTAAATAAAGGAAGAAAGGGTGAAAGTAAAAAAAAGGAAGAAAGGGTTACAGTAAAAAAAGGAAGAAAACGTGAAAGTAAAAAAAGGAAGAAAGGTTGAAAGTAAGAAAAATTGAAGAAAGGGTGAATGTAAGAAAAACGAAAGAAAGGGTGAACGTAAAAAAAAGGAAGAAAGGTTGAAAGTAAAAAAAATGGAAGAAATGTGAAAGTAAAAGAAAGGAAGAAAGGGTGAAAGTAAAAGAAAGGAAGAAAGAGTGAAAGTAAAAAAAGGAAGAAAAGGTTAAAGTAAAAAAAAGGAAGAAAGGGTGAAAGTAAGAAAAAAGGAAGAAAGGGTGAGAGTAAAAGAAATGAAGAAATGGTGAATGTAAAAGAAAGGAAGAAAGGGTGAAAGTAAGGAAAAGGAAGAAAGGGTGAAATTAAAAGAAATGAAGGAGAGGCGAAAGTAAAAGCAAGGAAAAAAGGGTGCAAGTAAAAAAAAAGGAAGAAAGGGTGAAAGGAAAAAAATGAAGAAAGGGTGAAAGCAAAAGAAAGGAAGAAAGGGTGAATGTAAATAAAAAAAAGGGTGAATGTAAATAAAAGAAGAAAGGTTGAAAGTAAAAAAAAGGAAGAAAAAAGGAAAGTAAAAAAAGGAGGAAAGGGTGAATGTAAGAAAAAAGAAAGAAAGGGTGAAAGTAAGAAAAACGGAAGAAAGGATGAATGTAAAAAAAGGAAGAAAGGGTGAAAGTGAAAAAAATGGAAGAAAGGGTGAAAGTAAGAAAAAATAAAGAACTGGTGAAAGTAAGAAAAAAGGTAGAAACGGTGAAAGTAAGAAAAAAGGAAGAAAGGGTGAATATAAATAAAAAAGGGTGAATGTAAATAAAAAAAGTAAGGTTGAAAGTAAAAAAAAGGAAGAAAAAGGCAAAGTAAAAAAGGAGGAAAGGGTGAATGTAAGAAAAAAAGAAAAAAAGGGTGAAAGTAAGAAAAACGGAAGAAAGGGTGAATGTAAAAAAAAAGGAAGAAAGGGTGAAAGTAAAAGAAAAAGAAGAAAGGGTCAATGTAAATAAAGGAAGAACGGGTGAATGTAAATAAAAAAAAAGGGTGAATGTAAATAAAAAAAAGGGTGAATGTAAATAAAAGAAGAAAGGTTGAAAGTAAAAAAAAGGAAGAAAAAGGGAAATTAAAAAAAAAGGAGGAAAGGTTAAATGTAAGAAAAAAGAAAGAAAGGGTGAAAGTAAGAAAAACGGAAGAAGGGGGAAAGTAAGAAAAAAGGAAGAAAGCGTGAATGTAAATAAAGGAAGAAAAGGTGAAAGTAAAAAAAAGGAAGAAAGGCTGACAGTAAAAAAAGGAAGAAAACGTGAAAGTAAAAAAAGGAAGAAAGGGTGAAAGTAAGAAAAATTGAAGAAAGGGTGAATGTAAGAAAAACGAAAGAAAGGGTGAACGTAAAAAAAAGGAAGAAAGGTTGAAAGTAAAACAAATGGAAGAAATGTGAAAGTAAAAGAAAGGAAGAAAGGCTGAAAGTAAAAGAAAGGAAGAAAGGGTGAAAGTAAAAGAAAGGAAGAAAAGGTGAAAGTAAAAAAAAGGAAGAAAAGGTGAAAGTAAAAAAAAGGAAGAAATGGTGAAAGTAAGAAAAAAGGAAGAAAGGGTGAGAGTAAAAGAAAGGAAGAAATGGTGAATGTAAAAGAAAGGAAGAAAGGGTGAAAGTAAGGAAAAGGAAGAAAGGGTGAAAGTAAAAGAAATGAAGGAGAGGTGAAAGTAAAAGCAAGGAAAAAGGGTTGCAAGTAAAAAAAAAGGAAGAAAGAGTGAAAGGAAAAAAAAGGAAGAAAAGGTGAAAGTAAAAAAAGAAAGAAAGGGTTAAAGTAAAAAAAATGAAGAAAGGGTGAAAGTAAAAAAAAGGAAGAAAAGGTGAAAAGAATAAAGAAGATGGAAGTAAAAAGTTGTTTTATCAAAACCTGTACCCATTTTGCACCAATTTGCTTGTCATATGTATGTCTGCCATAACTTTATCAGATTGAGTGCCATGATGGGTAGATTGTACGTTATATATTTGTAATCTATCGTCGTGTTGTTGGCGTGTTAATCTCTCATTCAGTAACAAAAAGCAGCTGCGCTTTTTTTCTGAAAATGAAAACGTTTTAATATTATGGATGAACATGCTTGACAGAACTATTTTTCAAACCCACACAGTGACATTTGTTCTCTTAGAAATCTGATCGCTGTCGTGTTTCCATACAATATTTAATCGATCGTCCGCTACGAGGACTTTTCTTTTCGTAAACTCAAAGTACAGGAGCGTAAAAGTTGACCTTTTGCGTTCTTTATTTGGATTTCATTTGTACGTGGCCTTTAAGATCATTGCCAAGAATTTTATTATTCTTTTCGCTTATTGTCCCTTTTTCCTTGAATGTTTCTTTTTAAAAGAAATAAAGAAACAAGGATTATAAATAAAAAGGACGGAAGTATGAAGGCCTGGGAATAGGAGGGAAGTGTGAAATGTCGGACACGGATCAGAAAAAGCGAAGAATGAGGGAAAGGAATTAGAGAAAAAAGAAAAGAAAAGAAAAGAAAAGAAAAGGGAGGATAAACTATTTTGTTGAAGTAAAGAGAAAAGAAAGAAAATGAAAGGAAAAAACTTGGAAGAATTCTAAAATTAAAACATCTAAAATGTTAAGTTAAATTTATAAAAAGGTATAGAATGAAAGTATAGGACATTTATGAGGGGAAGAAAAAGGTGAAGGTAAAATAGGAAGGAAAAGAGGAAAGCAAAAAGGTGGAGGAAAAGAGGAAGGCAAAAAGGTGGAGGAAAAGAGGAAGGCAAAAAGGTGGAGGAAAAGAGGAAGGCAAATTGGGAAGGAAAAGAGGAAGGCAAAAGGGGAAGAAAAAGAGGAAGGCAAAAAGGTGGAGGAAAAGATGAAGGCAAAATGGTGGAGGAAAAGAGGAAGGAAAAATGGTGGAGGAAAAGAGGAAGGCAAAATGGTGGAGGAAAAGAGGAAGGCAAAAAGGTGGAGGAAAAAGGGAAGGCAAAAAAGTGAAGGAAAAAGAGAAGGAAAAGAGCAAGTAAAAATAGAAAGAAAAAGGGGAAGGAAACAGGGAAGGAAAAAGAGGAAGGAAAAAGAGGAAGGAAAAAGAGGAAGGAAAAAGAGGAAGGCAGATGAAAAAGGAAAGGCACTGGAATTAAGGAAAGAGGATAGAAATAAGGGAAAGAAAAGAAAGAAATGAAATAAAGAAAATGAAACAAAGAAGCAAAGGAACGGAAAGCGAGAGGATAATGAGATAATAAGTAACGTGAAAAAGAAAGAGTAACGAAATCACTGAATGAATAAAGAATAAAAAATGATGGAAACTGAAGAAAGAGAGCGGGGAAGAAAAAATGCAGAAAATGTAAAAAAAAAAAAAAATTGTTAAACAAAAATGTCCAAAATTTAAAAAACCCCCCACAAAAACACAAAAATTACCAGTACCGGATAAACCGTAATAACAAGTTTATTGATATTTTTGTGGGGGATGGAAATCAATCTGTAAATCGATTTCTTTAAAACCATTTTGCGAAAAAATGATTTTTGGGGGTGGATATGTCATTTCATACAAAAAGTCAGTAATTTAGAGATCGTTCGTGACTTCTTGAGATTATTATCATTACAAGAAAAATAGCAACAGAAAGGGGATTGTTAAAAGACAAAAAAAAAAAAAACGAAATCTATAAAATAAAAGAAATCAGCCTGACTGTGAGTAAAACAATGCAAAAAAGTAAGACAGAGAAGAATATAAGTCGGTCAAATTTCAATGAAATAAAACGGAACGAAATAACACGAGAAAATGCGAGAGTTGGTGTTGTGATGCAACCGGACACTTTCGATAAGCTTTTGAAAAATACTTAGGACACGACTTCTTTGAATCGATGAAATGCTTTCATTCTTAACTGTTGCCTTACGGGTTCTGCCAATTGGGCAGGTGAGAACACGTAATGTTTTCGAAATTCTGGTTGAAAGGTTAGAAAATATTTTTGGCACGATTTTTACAAAAAGAGTGAGCGGGGAAAAGGTCAAATGATAGGCATGGAAAAGCAGGAATGAATGATAAAATGAAACGAATAAAAAATTAAGGAAAAAAAGAAATTGAAGAAATAGGGAGAAAAAAGGGAGAAAAAAAAGAAAAATTTAGATAGTGAGGAAGATAAACAAGATGGGGGAAAATAAAGTAATGAATACAATGCCCTACACATGTTTTGGTGCAAGCCAACTTGTGCTCTTTCTAAGCTAACTTTGGGACATTAACTCCAAAAAAATCAAGTATATTTTTACTAGCTAGCAACAAATATTGCTGTACAGAACTTTAATTAAAAAATGACTATTTGTAGGCAAATTTCACATAATGTTTAAATTAATTCTTCATACCTCCTGCAAAAAAAGAACATTATTGAATTTCTGATAAATCAAGCACCTGATATTTATATTCTGATAACGTATGGAAGCAATATGAAGTCCTTCTATATATCCGCTTTACATCGTCTGAAACAAATATTTGCATTTCTATAGTAAAATCATTAGCAATTCATTTAGATTATACAAATAATAGCCTTATTCTATTAGTAATGCTAGCATTCATTCCTGACCACTGACAATCCCTTTCTTTTTCTCATTTTCAATGCATTCCTATAGTAAAATCATTAACAATGCATTTACATTATACATACAAATGTCATATTCTATCAGCAATGCTTGCCTTCATTCCTGATCACTGACAATCCCTTTCTTTTTCTCATTTTCAATGCATTCCTATATTAAAATCATTAGCAATGCATTTACATAATACATATAATAGTCATATTCTATCAGTAATGCTTGCATTCATTCCTGACCACTGACAATCCCTTTCTTCCTCTTTTTCAATCCATTCCTATAGTAAAATCATTAGCAATGCATTTACATTATACATATAATAGCCCTATTCTATCAGTAATGCTTACATTCATTCCTGACCACTGACAATCCCTTTCTTACTGATTTTCAATGCATTCCTATAGTAAAATCATTAGCAATGCATTTGAATTATACATATAATAGCCCTATTCTATCAGTAACATTTGCATTAATTCCTGACCACTGACAATCCTTTTTTCTGATATGCAATGCAAATCATATAGACTCGATCAATGACATTTATTGAAAAACTTTAGCTGAAGAATTTTAAAATTTGACGATTCAATCACCCAGTTCCATTTTTAAGCCAAAATGGTGCCCGTTGCTGGCAGAATGACAAGTTCCCACTGCAGTAGGACAAATTGTTTACACCGGTCACTATGCAGGGATGCAGACACCAAAGAGAATTCTCTTCTTATTACACAGTATTTATATAACCAGAAATAACATTTACAAGTTTCTTGATGTACAACAAGTTTTGATTAAGCAGTCTGGTGCGGCACCACGGAGTGTAAGATCAATCAATAATAATCGATAGGCCAAGCTTTAAGGTTTATGACAGGTTCGATGATTGCTATAGATAGAATACAAAAAAATAGCTTATGGCAATGCTCTAAACTTGGATAAATTAAATGAAAGCGTTTGTCCCGATATTCGAATTTAGTGTGTTCTAATGAATGAAATTGCTCCTCTCGTTCGCTATTTCGTCTATCTATTTCTCCTCGGCATTTCGTATGCCTTTATGCCTCTGTGTGTGTGTGTGTGTGTGTGTGTGTGTCTGCACAATTATCCATTGATTTTCATTCGACCATTACGATTGAGTAGTGGGTTCGATCCTCACCGTGTGAAACGCACCGGTGGTCCTCTGCTAAAGTAAGCTTAACAACTTGACACTCTTTTTGAAAATTTCATTTACGCCACGGACTTGCTTTTACGAAAGACCAATTAGGACATACAAAATGCCGCAAAGACGTAGAAATTCTCTCTCGCTCTCATATATATATATATATATATATATATATATATATATAGAGAGAGAGAGAGAGAGAGAGAGAGAAGGAGAAAGTAAGAGAAAGGGTGAGAAAGTAAGTGAAAGAGACGAAACGTTGAGAAAGAGAGAGAGAGAAAGAGAGAGAGAGAGAGAGAGAGAGAGAGAGAGAGAGAGAAAGAGACAGAATGTTGAGAAAGCAAGACAAGCACACGGAATGTTGAGAGTGGGAAAGAGAGAGAAATAAACGAAATGCTGGTAAAGAAAAACGGCTGCTGAGAAAGAGTGAGGGAAACAGACGGAATATTGATAGAGAGACAGAGAGAGAAAGGGAAGAAATGTTGAGTATAACAAAAAAGACGGAATGATGAGTAAGCGAGAGTAAAAGAGACGGAATGATGAGTAAGAGAGAGTAAAAGAGACGAAATGCTGAGAAAGAGAGAGTAAAAGAGACGAAATGCTGAGAAAGTATTTCGTATTTTTCTCTTTCTGAGAAAGAAAGTGAGAAATGTTGAGAAAGAGAAAAAGAGAAAGAGTAAGAAAGAAATGAAATGGGAAAGAAACAGAAATACACAAAATGTTCAGAGAAATAGAAAGAGAGAAAGAGACGATATATTGAGAAAGAGAGAGAAAGAGACGATATATTGAGTGATAGATGGAGAGTCAAGGTGAGAAACGAAATGCTGAGAGAGAGAGAGAGAGAAAGAGAGAGAGAAACAGAGAGAGAAGAGATGTTGAGAGAGGGAAACAGACTATCTGTTGGGAAAGATTGAACGGAAAGAATAGAAATATCGAGAAAGAGACGAAATGGCGGGAAAGAGATAGAGAGAGACGAAACATTGAAAGTGACACTGACAAAAATAGGGAATGGGTGAGATACAGACAACATGTGAGAGAGAATGAGTAGGATATATATATATATATATATATATATATATATATATATATAGAGAGAGAGAGAGAGAGAGAGAGATAGATAGAGAGAGAGATAGATATATATAGAGAGATACTTCTATTAATGTTGATATTTCGTGAAAGCGAATTTGCGTAAAACGTTGAGCCAATTTTTAACTCGTTTAGTCTATCCTAACTCCGTTTAGCTGTACTTAAATAGGTTTAGGAAGTTCAGACGCGCCCTAATTTAGATTCTATATAATGAAAACTTAGATAATAGAACTAATTGCAAATTTATATCTAGGTTCGGACACCGTAAAAATGCATTTTTCACCTCTCTTAATATTCTTGTTCATAGCAGATAGACTGCTTGATTGCAGCTGACGGAATTAAATGAAGGAAAGCGAGAAGAAAGGACTGCACGTCAATTGCAAGCCAATAAAATGCATGGTTGTTAGCAAAAGGGACAGCTCAACATATAAATTACAAAATGGAGATATCAAAATTAAACAAGTACACAAATTTAAATATCTGAGATATGTTTTAACAGATGACAGAAAGTGTGACACTGAAATCCGAAGGCGCATTGAGATAGAGAATGATGCATTCCAAAAGCTAAGGAAAGTATTAAGAAACAGGAAAATTTTGTTGGAAATAAAAAATACTGAACTGTTACGTAATAACAGTCCTCCAATATGGCACTGAATATTGTACAATTTCTTCATAAATGAAGAGATTTGAAGCAACAGAAATGTGGTTCTACAGAAGGATGCTGAGGATACCATGGACCGGACTCATGAAAAAGTTTTATAGAAAATTGAAATAAAATAAGGACACTTATATTTATCAGAAAGAGACAGCTGAAATTTCTAGGGTACATAATGAGGAATAAAGAACATGGAGAATTTGATACTCACAGGACAAACTGAATGGGGGTGGGAAGAAAACAATGCGTAACCTACCTCGCGAACTTCAGCAAATTCATGGCAGTATAAGGTTTAGGATACATTACAGCATACAAAATTTATTAAGATCTACAAAGAACAGGAAATTGTGAAGAGTCATGATCCCAACGTCATGAAGAAGACAACAGAAAAACTTCAGGATTTTAAACTATGCGATTGAATTTGAAACATTGATTCAAATAGAGCTTGTAAAAAAAAAAAAAAAAATATGACGAAATTCTGTCAGAACAAATATGCAGTGTTAATGGTACACAAAGAAAAACAAGAAGAAATCGAAAGAATTTAATTCCCCGACAGACATAATATTGACCAGACTAGAACGTTACAATGGTACTGGAAGCAGACTCGAGTAAACAAAATAAAGCAAAAAAAAAAAAAAAAAAAAAAGAGAAAAGAAAAAGTCAAGAACGATGATAAAAACTAGTATACTGATGCACTTCTGATAACGCCAAAATGGACTTTGCACTCTGTGTTCAGTGAAACCAAATGAATAAGCGGGTTGATCTGAGAGATAGCGTATTAGTTATAGGTCAGCGCCTTTACTCGATGTCAATGGCTGCCTCCGACATGTAAATAGATGGTCATCCCAGCTGCACCGAGGAGCTTACGGTCACATCACATTAAAATACCGGTTCCCATACGATCACCAAAGTTAAGCAACATCAAACCTGGTGAGTACCTAGATGGGTGACTGCATGGGAATACCAGGTGTTGTAAACTTGGATGTGCTGGTATAATGCATAAAGGTTCGGAATTGTTAATCGGAGAGTCGAGTTGAAATTCCCTTGAGAAATGTATAAATCCACTTGTCATCCCCTCAGCTATGGGTTAATAATACTTGTATTAGTGAAATCTTTATTATGTATAAAAAATGCGTACAAAATATTAAAATTTCGGTATTAAATAAGCTTTAGAGGTTAATATGCCGTTAAAAAAACGGCCTACCAACCAGCTACATCGAATATGTGCATATGTGAGAGAAAACGAATGAGAGGTAGATATATAAGTACCCACCTGAGAGAGTCTTTTTCATCTTTGCGAAAGTAGAAGTCACGTTCGGAGAAGAATCCAAAGACGTACACCCACTCGTTGACAGTAATGAATGAAGTCCGGAGTTGACTAATCATTAAGGATATGTATAAGAAATTTAGACTCGTGTTTTTATTAGTCTATGACGGTGGGGTAATGGATAACGGCTCGGATTGAGGAATCGGAGAGCAGAGTCGAATCCATTCACTTACGTGCTAATACTCTTGGGAAAGTTATGAATAATCTTCTTCTCCCCCCCCCCAGCTATGGGTAAATAGCAGAACAGACCTGGTTCTACAGCCTTGGCAACTGGTCTACTGCAGAAAGAAATGACAACCTACTGCGGGAAAAATCTGCCACGTCAGTCATGTATTGAAAGTTACATGATCGCCTAAGCGTGTACCATGCATCATGGCACATAACTAGCTGATATGACTACTCGTTCGGGTCGATGTGCAAATGCCCACAGCACACCCACAAGATAACGAAGGTTGAAAATAAGCACCATCGCGAGAAAAGAGGTCTCGAACATTGCTTCCAATATAATTAGGCGTTCATTTCAGGGATTCCGTTGCACAGTGTAGGGAGGTAAGGAGATGACTTTTGGAAACAACTCGCTGCCGATACCTAAATCATGACACGCGGGTGGTAACTCCGACGTGCAACATCTAAACTGCATTGGCGGCCAGCCTTCACCCGATAACGGACAGCCCGACACTACTTATAGCGACAGTCTCTACCAAGTGCGGTCCAGCACTCTCCTTAATCCCAACTGTGACTGTTAATATACAGGGTGGTTCGAAAGTCTTGTTACCTCTACATAATATAATTTTCTATTTCAGATGGCTAACACGAAAATGATGGTGTTCATACAGACCTGCTCGATATGCGACTGCGTCAATGAAAGTGAATAAACGGAATCCAGTACGCGTGCTTTGTATTACTGTTCTACTTTTTCTTCTATTGTTCTCGTTTTGGTAGGTGTAACAAGACATTCAGACCACAATGGAGAAACGCGACCGGAAGTTTTCACTGTCCGGTTTGTTGTCACTTGATCACTAAATTTACATTTTTATACGTATTATCTTATTCTCTTTTGGTCGTGGGTCGTCGCCTTCAAGATCCCATTTTAAAGACCTTATTGCTGAACATAAAACATTTAAGACTGAGATAAAAAAAAATCACTCATCATTTCCTTCTGTGTTAAGGTCTTAATCATAGTGACACATCTGGTATTTCTAAAATGGGCAAGAAAACGTGGCACATCTGGTATTCCTAAAATGGTGAAGAAAATAACTGAAAACGTTTCACTAGAGAACTGGGAAATTAATGAACACGCACAAAGCAAGACATTCAGGATATAACATTGATAGACTATGTGAAAAAAGCAGAGGAAAATAACCTACTTTCATTGAAGACTATGATGTTACTGTTTTCAAAGTAGTTGATGACGACTTGAAGTAGAATGAGAAATTGATTAAGACATCCAGGGACTGCAATAAAACCGAAAAAAGTACAACTGTTAGATTAGATACTTCAAAAAACAAGAAAATAAAACGGGAACATCCAGTTTCCTTTATTATCTTTGAAATAGTATGCCTTTCTGAACAATTTGAATGGTTTGCACTGTCTTCTCCAGTTTGAAATTCAATTTTCCTTTTTAGAGAAACAAGTCTACTCCGCTATTTAACCCGTATCTTGGTGGGGTGTGTAGGTCAGAGACGGATTCATACCTTCCCCAAAAGCATTAGTGCGAAAGTGAATGAAACAGACAGGCTCAAAATTTGATTTCGGCTTGCCTATTTGACTTTATATGCCGATATCCGTAACACTACCTGCACACCTTGCAGTTTTCAAAAGACCGACAAAAATAATTGCATTCATATTATTGTGATTTCTTTTAATATTAGATTAAGCGCAGTCAGGGATTATCAACTTTTAGACGTTTTTCATGGCAGCCATTTTCAGATCGCTTTCTTCTGAAGATCTGAACAGTTGCAATGGAAAGCAACTAAAACTAAGTTGAAATACGGCTCGATACGTCATTCAAAGGGTTTGCAGATATGTCACGATCATGGTTGCGTAGAGGACACGTGAAGAAAAAATGTGGAATCGTTATAAACGGCAACTTAGAACAAACGTATCAGAACAAACTACAGGGAGTGACAGAACTAATTTCAACTCGACGGTAATTTGCAGTTCGAGCCCAACGCTCAGTTTCTAATAAAAGTTTTCCCGAATATTTCCATTTAGGTGTAAATGTACATGCTTAATTAAAAAATAACAAAGAAATTTTGATAAGACCTACCATTTTAGATTTATCGACAATAAAATTTCGGGCACATTCGTATCCCCGTGGGTGAAGTTGAAATTAATTCTGCACCCTATTACCGGATGTTTGAAAAATGTATACACATTTTTACAGTGTATAGCTCAAGTCAACTTGCTTTCTTTCTAGGTTTACGCGTTAATATTACCAATGTCATTCAGGCTTTGCTTTGAACAAAGAGAGTTCCTCTTAAAATGTTACCGGAAGTACGAAAATCGTGTTTTTCCCAATGGAGATAGTTTCCATATTTGCCAACGGAAAAACGGTACTATCGGTTTGTGGGCTGCCCGCATGACAGCTGGGCCAAGGCAGGCCTGTATTTTTAAGCAATTGTTCGTTTTGACTACCGACGGTTAAGTAACAACTGACTGCCTTCGTTACTGCGAACTTACGTCACTCAGCGGCCGGCATGTAACCCTCATGAGGACGTCAACCATAGGAAGATAATAATCGCCTTTTGCATTACTATAAACTTTCAATATAATATGTTTAATTACCACCGACGAAAAACTTCCATTTATATTACATACTACCTATGATTGCAAGAGTAACCAACGAAAATAAAGTATAGCCGGTGAAACAGAAAGAAAAGGAGAGACGGTATTTTAAACTAAACATTTATCTGTATAGCCCGTATAAATGGATCAAGGCAGAATGTCTTTTTTGTGGGTGAGAGAAGCGAGAGTTGGTTATGTACGGGCGTGCCGTTGAAGAGTGTGTCTCTTCGGTTGTCCGGGAAGCCGCTGGTGAACTCCATGTACTGATATGGGTGTCGGCAAGCAGGTCCTTTTAAGCAGTCAGGGTGGAGACATGACAGCGTTTTTTTTTTCATACTTTTGCTTATGCGGTAACTTTCATGTTGGCTTCGACGTTTAAATTTAATTCTTTCGGTGGGGGATGCGATGCTCGGAGCCCATGCGCAGATAGCGATTTAATTTTTTTTTCATAGCATGCACATCAGGATGACAGGTGTCGATATGGAATAATCAGAAAAGGATCTAACTCTAAGCAGAGTATAACATTTATCTTAGGCTTCTGATGAATGTTAATAACAGTAAAAATGTCTGTTTCCATAGAGAAAAAAAATTGATATTCATTGAAAGAACTGTTACGATCAGTTGAAATTTTTCTTGTCGGGGTTCACCGTTAAAGTTCGTTCTATTCTTGATACGAGTTTCCTTTCAAATCTTTGGTATGACGGCCAAATCATATTGAAACACCGATTCCGATACGATCACCGAAGTTAAGCAACGTTGAGCCTATTCAGTATCTAGATGGGTGATGTAAGCATTGGATGTGTGGGTGAAGTAATGATTCAGAATTGGAAATCGGAGAGCCGTTCCAATTCCAGCTGAGTTCGTAATATTCACTTACGTGCAAATACCCTGAAGAAAAGTATGAATCCATGTCTTCTCCCCGCAGCTATGGGTTAATTAGTACGAATTATATCAGTAAATAATTATCATATCTCAAAAATTCTTACAAGTATTTTATGATTTTAAATAACCTGAAAAAAGTTAATAAGCCGTAAAAAACGAATCAGTCAATTAATCAAGTTGACTATTACTACTGAATAGCGAGTTTGATCCTCACTTGGTGCTTCATACAGAAATTAACATTAAATAACTAAACAAGGATTCCCAAATTGTAAAATCTCCCAACCTGACTAAACAGGTACCTTGCTATATTTTGTGATGTTGAACTCTCGTTGCCACTTTTGTAATGTCAACGAATACCCGTTGTCACTTCGTAATGGCCGTTGTAGTAGAGACTTTGTAATCGCAAATACAACTATAGTAAGGCCGTTGAACAATACTGGTGTCAGACGTCTTCGAATAACACACGTACTAATAGTACTTACTCGATAATACTAGCTCGAAAAGTACCTACCGAATAGTAATCCGTATAGTTATCAGTATAGTGAATAGTATAAAGAATAGCGAAATGTATAGTAATGGAGGAGAGTGTAGAAATAGTGATCCGTATAGTAATAGAGGATAGCGTAGAAATAATGAGCAATTAAACGCCAATTCCCATATATACATTTCCTTTGCCATCACGTGATCTACTTATTGAAAATGGGATCGCCTGTGTTTGCACCCTGGTGATCTGTGTTCAAACTCCAGTATCGGCAGCGACACTTTATTCATATATAACAGTATAATGTAGTGGTTAACAAAGCTAGGTTAGTTGACCATTATTATTGACTAGTGAATTCGATCCTCACTAGGTGAAAAAATCCATCAGACGTTTTTTTTGAAACTCTGGAAATTTAATAGCTTCATTATATATATTATTTAATTTTCTATTTACATGTCCTACACATTGTTGTTGCTGCTGTTGGAAGTCTGTTTTTTTTTTTTTTTTTTTTTGTTATTTGGTAAAAATCTCTGTTTGTATAGCGTCAACCTTATAGGGACTGATGAACGATTGGTTTGTTTTTGAAGAATTAAAAGGTATTATTTGTTTGAAGTCATTTTGAACATTGATGATTTTATCCAACAGCAAGCCAGTAGAAACATTGATGACGATAATGAAAAGAAGACGTATAAAATAAAATAAAAAAAAAGACAGAAAGAAAAGATCATAAGAAATGATTGAAAGAGAAAAATGAAGAAAAGATTGGAAGTAGAAAGAAAAATGTGGAAGAATAAGAATAGATTTACCTTTTTCTTTTGCGTGATCTAATTTAGAAAAATTTCGTGGCTTAGAACCGGCGTTGGTAGATGATGACGACAACAGCGGCGCCATTGGTAACGAGAAAATATTAAACCGAAAGAAAAAGATCAGATTACACGCAACAATTAAGAGAAAAGAGAAGAAATCACGAGAAAGATAAATTGGAAAAGGAGAAAAAGACGAGAAAAGGAAGAACCAATCTAAAGGGTAAGAAAAGAAAGAAAGGAGAAAGAGTAAAAGATAAGGACAAAAGAGAAATAGAAAGAAAGAAAGAAGCTAGAATAAAGAAAAAAATGAAAGAAAGGTAAGAAGAGAAGAATAAGAACGAGAAGAAAAAATAGAAGGAGAAAAAAAAAAAAAAGAATGGCTGGTGGCGTTAATCCAAAATGGCCGCTTAAGTGACGTGACAGAAGTTGTTAAATCGTAATTAGCCAAATTTTATTAGCTAAGTAGCAATCTGCTGGATTTCCTGGAAGCTTACAGAAAAAAAAAATCATAAAAAGAAAAAAAAAACAAAAACTCCTGTAATGGGAAGAATGTGAAAAAAAGAAAAAGGAAGCAGTTAAATTGTTTTTTGCTTCATTATATAACCAAGAAAATATACCTACATTGAGAAAATTATGATAATGACAATGGCAGAAAGGTGAAAGAGGCAATAATAAAAAAAGTCCTATTAGGAAGTACATACAGGACATGTGTAAAATTATTGTGCACTACGGTTTTTAACTTAAACTAATATCTGCACTTATAGTTTAAACGTTTGATAAAGTACGTCACAGAAAACTGTTGGTGATGGGTAACCTTGACATATTTAGGAAGAATATTAGAATTATCCAATACTTATACTGGGAACAAATCGCCTGCATACCGATAGAAAATGGATTCAGTAAATATATAAAAAAAAAGAAAGTAGAACGGTGTATAAGGCAAGGATGCCCCCCCCCCCACCGAACTTATCCAACCGTTACAGTGAGGCGATTCTGAGAGAATTAGATGTCCTACCAGGACTGATTATTGACGGCCACAATCTTAACAACCTAGATGACAGTGTTGATAGCAGATACAGAAAGGAAATTATAAGAACTCCGACAAAAGCGTGAAGGAAAGCGTGAAGAAAGGACTATCAATTACAAGAAGACAGACAACATGGTTGTCAGTAAAAAGAACAGGATACCATAACCAAACAAATACAACAATTTAAGTATCTCGGAAGTGTTTTAATAGAGGGACGGGAAGTGCGACACGGGGATCCGAAGGCGCATTAAGATGGCGACATATGCCTTTCAAAAGTAAAGCAAAGTATTAAGAAACAGGAAAATTTTGTTAGAAACAAAGAGTACTGAAGTGTTACGTAATATCAGTCCTCATATATGGCAGTGAATGCTGGACACAGATGAGGAAGCGAATTGAAATAACAGAAATATCGTTCTACAGAAGGATGCTGAGAATGCCATGGACTGAACATGTCAGCAAAGACAAAGTTTTAGAGAAAATAGGACCAAAAAGGACACTTATACTTAATATCAGTAAGAGAAAGCGGAAATGCCTAGGCACAAAGTACCAAATTCTCCAAACCCTAAGAGGACATATTGAAAGCAAGTGGGACTGGGGAAAATAACGCAGAGCCTACCTAAAGAGCTTATGTAAATGGATAGCAGGTTTTAGGAGAGACAACAAAAAGACAAAATTTACTAAGTGCTAAAAAAGGACTGAAAATTGTGGAGAGCCATACACGTCAAAGATTCTGAACGGACAAGGCATGTAAAAGAAGAATGAGCTTGTGTAAATGGATGACGGAATAAGGTTTAAAAGAGACAACAAAAAGATAAAATTTACTAAGAGCAACAAAAGACAGGAAATTGTGGAGAGCTATGATCAATAACGTCCTGAATGGACACCTCACATAGAAGATCATCTGCACACAACTGTTTTCTCAATCAATATTTAAAAAAATGGCTCCAAATAAATAAACCATATAATTCTTAAAAACATCCACCAGACTGTAAACACTGCTACCACAAAATGGCAAAAATAATAATGGCGAGTCTTCACATAGGAAGCATTCTTCATTCATTCACCGAACAGTTTTCAGGAAAAGAGACTTATCAAATCCAATAACTGTTATAATTCTTTCTAGTGTAGATGGAAGTTTCCTTCATAGCTATTTGTTTAGGGTACTGTGGAAAGTGAACATTTTAATTATATAATTATTTACTCTTCTAGTTAATTCTGTTTCTCATTTTTATTAATGTCGCTGTTGGAAGTTTTTGAAGCGATTTGATTTTTGTTCCTTGGTAAAGCTCTTCGCTTGTGAGATTGTAACACCAGCCTATTGCGTCTGGTTAAGGATTGTCTTCCTGAAGAGAGTTTTACCAAATAACAAAAACCACATCATTTTAACACTTGTAAACAAGGCAACAACCAAAATGAACGATAAAGAAAAGAATGATACAATCAAGCTGTTAACTTTCTACACTGCGAAGAAAACTCCCCACCAGTAGTAGAAAGAGCTATAATATTTAGTGGTGAAGTCTGTATTTCCTGAAAAATTGTTTTTATAAAAAGATTTTATAAATCTCTACCGGCCATAATGCTAACTGTTCAATGAGTGCGGAAAGTTTGTTGTATGAAAATGCCTACTTTTACTATTATCAAATATGATCGAGGATGTGCCCAGTTTCCGCACGATAACGGAAGTTAAGCAGTGTCGAACCTGGTTAGTATTTTGATGGGGCACTTGAGAATAACGTATACTGTAAGAATCTTCCAATCCAATATATGTTTTGGCTTTAAATAAGTCAGAGAGTGTAGATAAGCTGTAAAAACAAAATCAATTTACACTACATAGTTCGGACTGTTCTCCTCACCTTTATTGTCATATTCGCGACGTTTCGGCCGTTGTACACCCCAACCTTCTTCAGGTGATATATGTTGGAATTTCGAACCGAACGTTTTCTTTCGTGCATCCGGGTAAGTTAATCTAGTTCCACAAGGGCCAGTGGATAAAAGCGTTGGTTGAATTAATCCAGTGACTTGACACCAAGAATTGTGAGTTCAATACCTGGCCACAGCAGAGGCAAACAGAAATTTGGAGAGTTGAGTTACTAAAGGGAATTCACTGAAACTGAGATATCCAGAAAAGGCATGGCACATGGTACTGGGAGCTTCTACTCCGGTGGACGAAATGAAGGGTTCAGTTCGAAATTCCAACGTATATCACCTGAAGAAGAAAAAAAGAAAGAAAAAAGAAGATAAAGAAAGAAGGAAAGAAGGAGAAAGAGAAAGAAATAGAGAGAAGGAGAAAGAGAAAGAAATAGAGAGAAGGAGATAGAGAAAGAGAGAGAAAAGGAAAGCCATGACTGATTCCATCTTGAAAGAACATGGAATTAAAAATATGGTCGAAATATTGGGCAGAATCCAAATGAAGAAAAATAAATTCTTCTTTAATACAAATTCAAAGAAGAATCTACGATGTTATTGGTCCTGATCTGGCATTTCGGCTCCAGTCATTTCCCGCCGCCCTACCAACTTAACATATCTTCCCGACGCCCTTTGTAGAAATATTTTAATGTTAATTGTTCTGATGAGCTTGCCTCTTTCGTAGCTCGACTTGACGACTTTAAGCGTAGTACAAGATTGGCGACAAGGTCTTATTGTGTTACAATTGAAATGACTAAATGTAACTATAATTTCTATGCTAGAAGTTTCTTTTCTCGCCTGTGGAATTCTTTTTGTGTGGACCTGAATTTGTATGTAATATTAGTACTCCTATATGGCAGTGAATGCTGGACAATCACACCATAGTTGAAGAAGCGTCTTCAGGTAGCAGAGAAGTGGTACTACAGAAGCATACTGAGAATATAATACACTGCACGAGTAACGAGGAAATCTTAAGAAAAATGGAAACGAAAAGAATACATACAGATTTAGAAAGAGATAGTAGAGATTTCCCGGACAAATAACGAGGAAAGAGGGCCTAGAGATTTTAACACTCCCAAGATATATTGAAGGCAAGTGAAGTAGCGAGAAACAACAAATAACCTAGTTAGAGAGTCTGGTCGGATGGAGGGGAGTGGCATCGTTAACCATTACCTCAGGCTGATTAATTGATTTTACAGTAAGGTAACCGTTGTTGGCTTATTTAATAGTGAACTGACTGAAGCACCCAGTGAGAATCGAAACCACTAATCAGTCATAATGGTCAACTAGCCTAGCCTTGTTAACCACTATTCTATACCAAGGCACCTGCTTAGTCAGGTTGGGGGATTTTACAATTTGTAAACCCTTGTTGGGTCATATACTGTTGATTTTTGTATGAGGTGCAAACTCAATATTCAGTAGTAATAGTCAACTAGATTAATTGATTGATTCGTTTTTTACGTCTTACCAACCCTTTGCAGGTTATTTAGATCATGAAAATATTTTTAGATTGTAAGATTTTTTGTTGAGATAATAATGTTTTAGTGATACAAGTCTTACTAATTAACCCATAGCTAGGGGTGGAGAATTGGTTATATACTTTTTCCAAGGTTATTTGCGCGTAAGTGAATATAACGAACCCAACTGGAATTAGAACTCGGCACTCCAATTAACAATCCCGTGCCATAATCAAACCTTCAAACCCAAGCTTACAGTGCCTAGTATTCCAAAGCGGTCACCCACTTAGGTAATGATCGTGCTTGACGTTGCTTAGGTGATCTCATGAGAACTGGTGTTTCAACATGATGTGGCCGTAAGCTGGTCACCTGGACTAAAATCGTTAACGATTATTCTATACCAAGACACCTGTTCAGTTAGGTTGTTGTTGTTGGGTTTTTTTTTTGGTTTTTTTTTAACAATGTATCAACTCTTGCTGGGTTATTTAGTGTCGGATTTTCTATGGGGTACCCAGAAAGGACCAAAAATCACTCTTCAGTAGTAATTGTATACCAATGCGGCCGATTAAAAATACAGTAAAGAGTAATATAAAACAACAATTGTTGTAGAGAGCCTTGATTGCTCAGGTCCTGAAGGGAGATGTTGCATGGAATAAATATGGCTCGTGATATCGCAGGTTGCAGAAAGGAAGGAATGAAAAAAGAAAGTGAAATAAAGACGGAGGTAAGAGAAGAAAAAGGTTGAAGGAAGGAAGGAAGGAAGACGAAGGTAAGAGAAGAAAATTGTTGAAGGAAGGAAGGAAGACAGAAAGACAGAAAGACGGAGGTAAGAGAAGTAAAAGGTTGAAGGAAGGAAGGAAGGAATGAAGGAAGGAAGGAAGGAAGGAAGGAATGAAGGAAGGCGGAGGTAAGAGAAGAAAAAGGTTGAAGGAAGGAAGGAAGGAATGAAGGAATGAAGGAAGGAAGGAAGAAAGACGAAGGTAAGAGAAGAAAAAGGTTGAAGAAAGGAAGGCAGAAACGCAGTTATGACAAAAAAATCAATTAAATTAATTGCATTAGGAAAAAAGGAATCATTAGATAGGAGTGAAAGAAGCGAAAGAAAGAAAGGAGTGAAAGAAAGAAAGAAAGAAAGAAAGAAAGAAAGAAAGAAAGAACGGTAGCAGTAGCAACAAATGAATATATGTGCGAGTAAAAGTATCCAAGAAATACAAACGACCAATGGGAAAAAGACTAAAAAACAAACAGTGTATTGTTTGGATGAGACTTGATCTTAATCTTGTGCAAAATGGCGACCCTCTTGAATGAGAAAGAGGCTGCGAAATTGAATTGAAAAGATGTGACAAGGATGTAATGAAAACAGAGAGAGAGAGAGAGAGAGAGAGAGGGAGCGAGAGAGAAAAGCAAAGAGAGAGAGAGCGAGAGTGAAAAGCAGAGAGAGAGATTGCGAGAGAAAAAAGCAAAGAGAGAGATTGCGAGAGAGAAAACAAAGGGAGAGCGAAATAAAAAGTAAAGACAGAGAGAAATAAAAAGCAAACAAAGAAAGAGATAGAGACAGAAAAAGCCAAGCAAAGAGAGAGAGAGAGAGATTGAAAAAGCCAAACAAAGAGAGAGAGAGAGAGAGATTGAAAAAGCCAAACAAAGAGAGAGAGAGAGAGAGAGAAAAGCCAAACAGAGATAGAGAGAAAAAAGCCAAAGAGAGAGAGAGAAAAAAGCCAAAGAGAGAGAGAGAGAGAAAAAAGCCAAACAAAGAGAGAGAGATAAATGCCAAACAAAGAGAGAGAGAGAGAAATTCCAAACAAAGAGAGAGAGAGAGAGAGAGAAATGCCAAACAAAGAGAGAGAGAGAGAAATGCCAAAGAGAGAGAGAGAGAGAGAGAGAAAAGCCAAACAAAGGGAGAAAAAAAGACAAGCAAAGAGAGAGAGAGAGAGAGAAAGAGAAAGCCAAGCAAAAAGAGAGAGAGAGAGAAAAAGCCAAGCAAAGAGAGAGAGAGAGAGAGAGAGAAAAAAGCAAAGAGAGAGAGAGAAAAAAAAAAGCAAAGAGAGAAGAGAGAGAAAAAAGAAAGAGAGAGAAAGCCAAAAGCCAAAGAGAGAGAGAGAGAAAGCAAAAAGAGAGAGAAAGAAAGCCAAGCAAAGAGAGAGAGAGAGAGAGAGAGAAGAGAGAAAAACCAAGAAAAGAGAAAGAGAAAAAAGCCAAGCAAAGAGAGAGAGAGAAAAAAAAGTCAAGCAAAGAGAGAGAAAGAGAGAAATCCAAGCAAAGAGAGAGAGAGAAAGCCAAGCAAAGAGAGAGAGAGAGAGAGAGAAAGCCAAGCAAAGAGAGAGAAAGAAAGCCAAGCAAAGAGAGAAAGAGAGAGAAAAAGCCAAGCAAAGAGACAGAGAAAAAAGCCAAGCAAATAGAGAGAGAGAGAGAGAGAAAGCCAAGCAAAAGCAGAGAGAGAGAGAGAGAAAAAAAAGTAAAGAGAGAGATAGAGAGAAAAAAGCCAAAGAGAAAGAGAGAAAAAAAGACAAGTAAAGAGAAAGAGAGAAAATAAAAGACAAGCAAAGAGAGAGAGAGGGAGAGAAAAAAGAAAGCAAAGAGAGAGAGAGAGAGAAAAAGAAAGCAAAGAGAGAGTGAAAGAGAGCAAAAAAGCCAAGCCAAGAAAGAGAGAAAGAAAAAAATGCAAAACAAAGAAAGAGAGTGGAGGAAAGCAAACCAAGAGAGAGAGAGAGAGAGAGAGAGAGAGAGAGAAAGAAAAGAGAGATGAAGGAAAAGCAAAGTAAAGAAAGAGAAAGAGAGAAAGCAAAACGAAGCAAAGAAACACAGAAAGAGAAAAACAAAGAGAGCAAGAGAAAAAGTAAAGCAAAGAAAGAGAGCGAGAGAAAGCAAAGAAAGAGAGAGAAAGCAAAGGAGAGAGGGAGAACGAGCGAAAGCAAAGAAACACAGAGAGAGCGAAAGCAAAGAAACACAGAGAAGGCAAAGAAAATCGAGAGAGAGAGAAAGTAAAGCGAGAGAGAAAGCAATGCAAAGAGAGAGAGAGAGAGAGAGAGAGAGAGAAAGCAAAACAAAGAGAAAGAAAGAGAAAGCAATACAAAGAGAGAGAAAGCAAAACATATAAACGCAAACTTAATATAACAGGGATTCTGACATTGCCATTCTTACAGTTATCGTTTGCTAAAAGTAAAACCCTTGGTTCTAATCAAATCTCGCGTCGTACAATATCTTCCATATTTTTCCCTATCTTCATCTTGTGACATTATTCAATTTGGGATGCTCCACTTGGGAAGTCAAGTGAACGAACAACATTTTAAAACTATGATTCTTTTCTTCATTTTGTTTTTTTATTTCTTCAGTTCTTTTTAATTTCTTTGGCCTTATTTATTTTTATGTTTATATATCAGGACAGGAACTTGGCCTTTTGAATCGTTCTTTGAGAAGAAAATGCATTCTCATCAAAATCTCTCGTCAACTTCACTTTACGACATGATCTCATTATTTCATCCTCACACAAGACTACACAGTAATACCATGACTGGTTTACTGGTGAGTTCGTATTACATACTGTTTTAAAGTAGACAGTACGCGTTTTTAACTTTAATCTTTTTGTAAATCTGTATCTTTTCACCCAGCTATGGGTTAAATAACAGATTGGACAGAGTTCTCTATATATGAATGGGAACTAGTTTGAGAGTATGAAAACTAAATTCCAAACCATGAAAAAAAGACAAAGAGAAACCATTTCTTTATCTTTCCCAAGAAAGAGTGATAATTAACAAATACAGAAAAAAAAGACACAATTACCTACGCCCTGGAGTGACATGCCATTAATACAAGGGCGGAGGTTGCAAAAGTACGTATACAGTAAGTATTATACCATTATTACCAGTCTTATAATCGTGGTTCTAGGATTTATTTAACCCTTTGAGACCTAGAGAAAAATGACGTAATGCCCAGCCACCAGTTGAACAGTGGTAGAGAAAAATGACTTAATGCGCAGCTACCGGTTGAACGGTGGGTAAACACTTGTAACTATTTTTTATATCTACCATGAAACATTACATACCAATTATTTACGAATTTTGACTTGGGATCTCAGACAGAAGGGTTAAAATTGTTGAGGAACGCAGGACCCAAAGGTTTAAAACTAGAATTTACGCTATTTACATTTACTGATTGTTGTCCTCAAATTTATTGTCATGTTCACGAAATTTCAGTCGTTGTACAGTCCAAACAATGTAAATAGTTACAATATCTAATCTCAAATATAGATGTATCCTGAAGAAGGTGGGAACGTACAACGGCCGAAGCATCGTGAATATGGCAATAAAGAAGAGGACAACAGTCCGAACGATGTAAATAGTTACAATACCTCATCTCAGATATATAGATAGAAATGTTAAAATTCATTAAAATCGTTTTTAATGCTTTCATTTTCATAATTTTTATTGGAATACATTTATTATAATTTTATTATTATTTGGTTCGTAATAAGTAATAGTAATAATAATAAATGTTTTGCAGGTAAAGAAAAGTGTGTCTCACTCGACTCCCACGTATCATCCTGTTTGGAAAACTCGTCAGGGGTAAGAAGCTCCGCAAAGCCCCGAAAACGACGCTTGAAGAATCAATTGAAAAGAGGAGTCTGTGAATGACGGGTTAAAAAGTCTGAACATTTGCGAGATATTTTTAAAAATTTTTTACTAAGGCCCAAGAGCCACCCAAGGTAGAGGGTCACTGTGTAGATCCGTGTGAGATTACTGTAAGGACAAGCGTTAGCAGTACAGAGCTATGTTTATTATTCGAATTGGCTATTTTGCTGATCTCGGTAAAATAGACATCAAGGCTATTTTGCCCGTAAATATAAATCGTGTTTTAGAACTAAGAATATATTATATTTGAGATCGTTAGCGCGGTGGTTGTGTGAGCTCTGTAGGAAGGACTTGAACAACATGGATTCTGTGGTCTGTGACTGTTGTCTTCAGTGGGTGCACCTGAAGTGTATTGGCAAGAGAACCATGTCCAAGGGCAAGTTTAGGAATTGCAGACACTGTTATGCCTGAAATGCTTAAAATATTCAGAGACTTCTATATTAATAATTGATGATGAATAATTGATTTTAACTTTTGTGTTGACAATTGATGGTGGAAAAGATTTTAACTTGCCTTCACAATTGATGGTGAAAATAAAGATCTGTGCTAAATCTGTGTGTTATTTTTAACAATAGCTGCCTTCATAAAGTAAAATAAGCTTAAAAGCACGTTTGTCTATGCGAGAAAGTGTGCTATTGGATTAATTAACAAAGCGAATAGCAATACAACATAAACACAAAAAAGTTTAAAATAACCATAAGTCTTCATATAACATCAATTGAATATATATATATATATATATATATATATATATATATATATATATATATATATATGAAATGTTCGTACAAAGTGTGTATATGTTTTTATGAGAGATTTGATATCTGAAAAAGAAGGTGATCTTGAGTACTTATCTTAAGTTTATAGTCACAAGCCTGAATAAGTATGTCTTTCTGGTTTGACTGCCAGGAACCAAAAAGGAGGTTTGACTTTCGCGCCTAACGATCCCTCGGGCTGTTCACGTGACTATCTATATATCTACTTTTAGTTTTTTAAAGGTTATCTATTTTTAGTTTTTTTTAAAGGTTTAGTCAAAGGGAGATAACTTTTGTCTCCTTCAACACTACCAAGACCTGCAAAATAGCCTCTGCTTTTATTATTGATATGTTTGTATAATCCATCGCATTAGTTGGAAGGACCGCATTACTAACAACGAGGTTTTTTCTTCCAGCATTGAGGTTACCATCCTTCAACAGCGCCTCCGCTGAGCGGCTTACGTGTCCAGAATGCGTCCAACTCGGCTCCCACATATCATCCTGTTTGGAAACCTCGCTAGGGGTAAGAGACTATGCAAAGGCCCGAAAACGACGCTTGAAGAATCAATTGAAAACATCCCTGACACAGGCCAACATCGACCCTGAAACCTGGGAAACGGTTGATGCAAATCGTCCTTCCTGGCGTAGAACCATCCACAGTGGGGAGAAGGAGCGGTGAGCAGGGGTAACCGAGACTTTCGAATCTAACCGTAAACACGAAGAGGATCTGCGACATGCTGTCAGGAGGGCCCGACTGGCCCAATCGAGTCCACCACCCACACTCCTTTGGGATTCCTACTCACAACTCTTCGGAAAGTAGGCTGGGCCATTACAGCCATCTCTGTCACCGTCATCAGAGGAGAGAAATGAAATAAGGGGAGAGGATGACGATCCCGATGCGAGTAACGACAGTTTTGGGCGTAAGTTTTGTTTTTCATTAGTGTATACCTACTAATATACCTAGTGTATAACTGAGTCATAAATAATTTCCGTTTTTAAATATCAACGATTCACTTTGTTCTTTTGGCTAACAACGTGTGGAACCCAGACACCGGGCTTTCTGACTCTCCCTATCTATTCTAAGTTTCGGCATATGGCAGACTGTGACGTGTTCAACATCTTTGCTAATTCTAGAGAATTTGCCGGAAATTTCTTTCCGCTAATAACTTTAGAACTTCACCCTTAAAGTCTGATGATGACCCTGCCTTACAACGACTTTTTTTTTTATTTTCAGAGAATAAAAATTTAAAATTAAATCTTTAACACACCGTGTACGCTGCTACTACTGCGCAAAAAGTCAGTTACTTAGTTTACTCTAAATGTATTAAGTGCCACGTATGATTGGTAGTTAGAACGATACATTCGTCATTACAACTGGTTCCCCCAGAATTACTCATAATTCAACCTAATCCATACTATATAGCTAGATTCTGACGTCGAGAATGACTGACGTGGGTTTAAAAAGCTGCAAGTTTTTTTACTAAACAAACAGTACAAGTGAATTGTTTAAATGCACATTCCCTATCATAGCACCATGTCCAGTACTAGTGCACTGTGTGTCACATGTCAGAAGATCATCTTCAGGGATAAATTACAAATCTCCGAAAAAGTCGAAAATACCTGGGTTAAATAAAAAGTACGGTACCTTCCTTAATGCTTTGGTTTGGTTTGTTTTACAGCATATCAACCTCAATGGGTCGTTTAATGTCGAAAACTTTTTTTTTTCCTGGTAATATTTTTGTTTTATCAAAAATCTATTTCTGTTAATATTTTTTTTCCTCAAAAATGTATACCTGGCAACATTATTTTTTCAAAAACGTATTATCAGAAGCCTTGATGCTGGACGTAGTTTATCGTCATACTCTAACACTTTCACCCCAGCCCCTCAACCTCCGACGTCTTACTCTCTGGGTTGAGGTGTCTACTCGGTCTTAACCGAAATTAAGGGAGTGACCGTAGGTCCCCTGAGCATCCATAGATTATTCGACCGGTCCAGTGGTTTAATCCTGCTTCCTGCCCACGTTGTGTTTCTTTGATCCAGAAAGCAGAAGTGATATTCATCCATTCACGGTCGACTGAAGATGTAGACACGGCTGGAGAGTCTGTGCTAAGAAATTTAGAATGCACCAAAAAAATATATATCTGCAGAAAGCCGGACAAACAACTATTCAATGGTTGAATTGTTAATGTCTTTTATATAACAGAAAAGAATAGTATAGAAAAGAAACAGGTTACAGAAAAGAAAATTATTTGACGTAAAAAAGAAAAAGAAAAACTCATACACTGGATTCTAGACAGAAAGAGAGAGAGTGGGGTTTGATTAACTTGTTGTTAAATCGTCTCAGAACGATATGCGACTCTTGCGATGGAGAGATAAAGATTTCTGTTCGTGGCTTAAAGTTTATAGTTGCATTCCTCCTCGGCAGTAGTAACTGTAGTAGTAATCTTCGTGGTAGCAGAAGCATCGGTACTTATATTAACAGTACATGTTAGCGGGGGTTTTGTTCCAATCTCTGACGTCACTTTCAATCTCCGACCTCTCTTCACCCAGCTCGACTGCTTTCGACGGCAGACGAGCCAACCACTCTTTGGTTATTGCAGCTTGTTCGACGTTTCCGTTTCCAGTGGTAGTAATAGTAGTAGTAGTAGCAGTCTTAGATTGTTAGAGGAGTAATTCGCTTCTTCGTACTTATATCAACAACATATGTTA